AGCTAGAAATAGTGTTGAGGCTGAGTTTCGTGCTATGGCTCATGGGATTTGTGAACTAATATGGTTAAGAAGAATCTCGGTAGAGCTTTAAATCAAAAGTGCGAAGCCTATGAGGTTGTACTGTGACAACCAGGTTGTGATTGAGATATCACAGAATCCAGTGCATCATGATAGGACGAAGCACGTTGAAATGGATAGACATTTCATCAAAGAGAAGATGGAAGATAAGTTGTTGTGTGTTACCTACTTGCCTACAAGTCAGCAGACAACATATATTCTTACAAAAAGACTGCCTAGACAGTTGTTTGTTAATCTAGTTTTCAAGATGGGAATGATAAATATCTATTCACCGGCATGAGGGGGAGTGCAAGATTTCTAGATTAGAATATGATCAATTTAAGAGTTATCTAAGTCTTATCTAGTTTAAGAGATTGAAATAAAAAGATTATTAGGATTTGTTTTCTCTTGATTTCATGTTTAAATCTCTCTACATGAGATTTGGGCCAGTTTGGTTTGTAATTCAAAAATAATTTTGAAAAACTAAGTTACAATTAAAAATTTTAAAGTTTTATCTCTAAATTTTAAATATTTGAAAATATATTTTGTATTTTAAATCTCATTATGAGATTAGGGCCAGTTTGGTTTATGATTTAAAAATAATTTTAAAAAACTAAGTTACAATTAAAAATTTTAAAAGCTTTATCTCAATATTTTAAATATTTGAAAATATATCTAGTATTAAAAATTGTTTTTGAAGTTAAAAACTATATAAAGATTGAGAAATGATATTTTTCTTGTTTTCTAATTTTACACTAATTTTTAGGATTATATGCAAAAACATTGTTTTTCAAAACATTTAACTTATTTTAATAAAAAATATTTTCATAAAAATCTTTATATTCCTTGTCTTCGAAAATAAAACACTATTTAAAATTTATAACAAATAGGCTCTTATTTAGATTATAAACTTTTATATGTATTTATGTTATATTTATGGTTGTGATTGTGGCTGTTCAGCTCACGAGATTGTGTTAAATTTTAAGTATGGTTCTTGAACGCTTAACTATCAATTTAAGCTTTTACAAGTTGTTACGTAACATTGTTAAAGATGTTGCTAAATTATGATACATCTACCTGGAATTTATGGAATGTATGCAATCCTTGCTATTTTAACTCAATGTGTAAAGATGCTTGCCTTTGTTCCCTTTCTCAGATTACACCCCGCATGGAAGAGTTGCAACTATTTAGGTTACAGCAAGAAGCCAAATCTGTTCTTGAACTAATAGATCAAAGAGACAAGTACATAAGAAAAGTGTTAGTGGAAAGAGTAAAATAGATTCAAACATGACTGCCGAGTAGTCTCTAACTAAGTGGTAGAAAAATATTGCCCAAAACCCAAAGAAAGTGCATGGGAAAGAAAAGGGACAAGCACAGAACTTAGCTGAAGAAAACGAAGTAGAAGAAGCAAAACCCAAGTTTGAAGAGCATCCAAATGACCATCACATCAAAGACTCCGCCACTGGAAGAGCCAAAGTTCATCGGAAAGTCATGGGTATGACTTTCATTCTCTCATTCATTATTTGTCAATGTTCTTTGTGCTTTATGCATCAAATGAAAAAGGGGAAGCTATCCACTATACCTTCCATGTGCACATCAGTCTTATAGTCAAATCCTTATTTAACATTGCCTGACCTTTAAACTTCAACATATGTATGCATAATGTGGACAATACCACAGAAATTAGCCCTAATTTTAATGCTTCAGGGAGATCAGCATGGCTGAAGCTTGGTGTCCCCTCGACAAATCCAAAAGTTAGGGAAGTGGAAGATGAGAAGCTGAAGTCAAATAATGAATTCAGAGAAATCTTCTTTAAGAAGTGAGGTTTGTTCCTGGGGTTAAATGTTACATGTTAACTAGAATAGCATAGTAATTGGCAAACTTCTCTTTCTTATAAAAAACGTAAGGTTTTGCCTTAATATGTTTCTGTAAACACACTTATGACAAAACATACCTGTTTGAGGATGAAAAATATATATGCTGTTGAGATCAATCTATATCAGTACCCTTCTTGTAAATTTTCTTCCAGATATGTCAAAGTTATACCCATTTTATTCAAAAGGGTAAAGTTCTAATATGTTTCTTGTGGAACATATATTTCATCCAATTTGTGATGAGGATAGCCTCAATACCTTACCCCAAGATTTAGAGAAATTTTAGCCAATTAGATGGGGATCAAGTTCCTTTTTATGTGACAAATGACCAATGGCATAGCTAGCTAGCCTGATGGTATTCATGGTGCTTCCCATTTGCCTATGGCCCCTTGGGCATGGGTTCGAGCCATGGGGGAGGCGAAGAAATCCCTTAAAAGGGGGGGGGGGGGGGGGGGGGGGACAGTACTAGTGAGTCCGTACCTATGTGGGCACCGCGAGGAACTCGTGTGGGGCCGGGGCTTGACAAATAAAAAGGCGTTCATAGGTTGGAAAATTTAATCAATAAACAATAAACGAATGTTCAATAATAATAATGATCTATCCACTACCATTGAATAAGAGAAATTAATTGAAAGAATTAGCATGTCAAAACATTGAGAGAAAAGTTCAAGATTCTATCTATATTTCATTAATTCTCTCGCAGAATATGATTATTTAATTTATAATTTTAAATTAAAAAAATTTATATCATTGTAAATTGATACAAAGTTCAATAGCATGATTATTTAAAACTTTATAATTTTATAAAAAAAAAGGTAAAATTGAATACTATATAAATTTGTTTGTTTGATCAACTGGATAATTTTGGATTTAGTAGAAAACCACTTCAAACCGAAAAAAAACCTGAACATGGATTTACATTTTTAACCTTCAAGATGCTAAGTGAACAATTTTCAAAATCATAAAGGTGGTTGAATAGGAAAGATCGATATTTGACATAAGTTTGCAATTTTGAAAACCTTAAAGGTTGTTGTGAAATTTGTCAAAACATTTCTCGTAATGCATTTTCCTTTTGCAATGACCCTACTTTAGAAAAATGACCCACAAAAACAGTCTTCATACATGGCTTTGAGATTCAAATTTCCATTTCGTTCGTCTTCAATCTCTCAAAACCCATATTCGAAAGTTAAGTTGTATTTTTTTGTTATCTCACTTACACAAACTCAGATCTTTAAGCTCCAAAAATGAAGTTTCGTATTCTTTCAAAAACCCCTTGAACGATCCTCACTTGCTAATTCCTCGAAGAAAATTGTTGATCAGGTAGCTTTACTTGAATGAATCATTGTACTTAATCATTGTACTTTTTTTTATTACATGATTAATTCGAAACCCCTTCTCCAATTCATCATTCACTACTTTGTTTAGTTCACTAGCAAAGAAGAAGCATTATTATGAAGTGATTTCGCTGTATAAGCTGTTGAATTCAACTGGGTTGTCTCCAGATTGATGTCTTTGAATATTTGATCAATTGCTTGCGTAATATTGAAAGGGGTTCTGATGGTTATACGGTTTTTGGGGCGATTTTGAAGTTGGGTTTTAGCCCAAATACGTGACATTTACTTGGTTGATTAAAGGCCTGTGTGCAGAGAGAAAGCCTATGGAATCAATGGAATTGTTTAAGAAAATGATTGCTGTTGGTTGTAGGGCTGATGTGATCACTTGCAACACTTTGATTGGTGGATTGTGTAAAACAGGGAAGATAAGTGTTGCTATTAAGTTGCTTGAAGAGATGGTTAATGGGAATAAAGAATCTGGTGTTATTTGTAGGCCATATGTTGTTTTTTATATTACTATAATTGATGGTCTTTGTAAGGCTGGATTGGTTGAGAAGGCCAGACAATTATTTTTGGAACATATGATTCAGAGGGGTGTGGTTCTTGACATTTATACCTATAGCATTTTAATGAACGGTTATTGCTTGGCCAATAGAATTGGTGATGCAAAGGAGTTGTTTGATTCTATAACTAGAAAGCGGTATAGACCTGATGTAGTTTGCTACAATAATTTAATCAATTGGTATTGCAAGAATAAAAAAGCCAATGAAGCTTTTAGTCTTCATCATGAGATGATTTCAGAAGGAATTAATTAGACTTTGAAAGAATGGATATGTTTTGGAACGGGTGGAAATGTTTAATGCTCTAGTAAATAATAAGTTTGCAGTTAGCATTGAAGGTTTGAATTCCCTCATTAATGGATTATGTAAAACAGGGAGATTCGAAACTGCTTGGGACCTATTTCAGAAATTTTCTCTTCATGGAAACCTAGTGCCAGACGTTGTAACATATAACATTTTGATCAATGGGTTGTGTAAAAATGGACAACTAGGAATGGCAAATGAGTTTTTGTCATATATGGAGGAAAAAGGTTGTGCTCCAAATGTAGTCACATTTAATACTTATGTTTGGTTTCCTCAAGAATAATGAGATACCAAAAGTTGTTGAACTCTTTCATAAGATGGCGGAGAGAAATGTGAAGTCATGCAATTACTAATGAAGGCCGAAAATTATAGTGAATGTTTGAACGAGCTTCCTCAATTTCCAGTCCAAAAGTGAAATTGATGTTTACGTGATAAAACTTTAGAGAGTATTAAACTTTTTTTCAAAGCAGAATCCTGCAAAAGTTCATCCAGCTGCCCAAATGCTCGATATTTGTTACAGTAACCAGAAGGTTCAGTAAACACTTTCATCTGTTCGAATTTGATAAGGATGGTGATGGAGATGATTGAGAATGGTAGCTTTCCTGATCAGACATATGATACGTGATCTGTCTTTGTTGTAAGTACATATATAGGAGGTGGCAGCATTACAGGTTGCATTTGGATTTGCACATGTGGTAGATCTTAAGGGTTTGAGGAATATTTTTGTTGTCAATTTCAGTAAGGAAAAGTTGTATATGAGGAATTGTGGAATGGTTCTTACTTCAACTACGACAATAATGGTAGCCGCTCAAGTTCATCTATTCAAGCTAATCAATTTACTTGACCACATGTAGTAGATCTTAAGGGTTTGAGGATTATTTTTGTTGTAAATTTCAGTAAGCAAAAGTTGTATATGAGGAATTGTGGAATGGTTCTTACTTCAACTACGACAATAATGGTAGCCGCTCAAGTTCATCTATTCAAGCTAACCAGTTTACTAGACAATGGTATGTTGTAACTGATTAACTTCATTCATTGATATTCTCAATTATGCAGGCCTGATAAATCTTGATTTATTTATAGTGTTTCACATGTTTCTGTTTCTCAATATATATTCTTTTTTAGTTCAGATCTGATAAGACTAGAACTTACCAGGCGTGTCTCCAATGTAGTTACGCACGAGCATGTGCCCTTTCAGTGATAGTTGATGAAGACAAAGCAAAAAGAGCATTAGAGAAGGTTTTTCTGTAGAATATCTTAAAGAATATGGATGCACAAGAGGGGCTGGTCAAGAAAAATATGGTCTGGTGTTACATATGCAGTTGCTGTAACGATGATCGTGGAGATTTCGTCAATATGGGATTTCAAATTGCCATTGAAATCTACGAAACCACATGGTCTGAAAATGCACTCGTGTAAGAACCCCTAGGTTTATTTAAAGTTGTTATCTTACAGCTTAGTTAATAAGCTGTTAACTAAGGTATGAGCTTGTGTTTTTTAGATCTAAATCTATCTCACATATGCTAGATTTCATTCATCAGCTGGTTTTGTTAAGGTTCTAATCCAAGGCAGCAAAATCAAGAAACGCATTTTTTTTTTGGTGGATGTACCGTTTAACCATTTTCTAGTAGATTCTTGATGTTGTGAAATGTTGGAAAAAACTCTGGTAGTTATAATGTCTAGTAGATAATATTTTAGCTCCTTAGGTGATGAAGGGGGAGAAGAATATCATAGATAGATAATATAGGATCTATATAGGGCGATAAGAGAGAATAAATAGGTTACAAGGAGAAATCAAAGAAAGGGATGCAAGGGACTCAAATACTCGATCCTAAAATGTAGAAGATAAGGACTAAATACCCATTTGCATCCTTCCTTTACATCCTGCACTGTTAGGTTACTGCCTTTAGGATAAATTTTTGCCGGCTACAATTGGAAACTTTACATTCTGCATAATTTACACTGAAAAATATTAGCTCTAGAACTATTTGTTCCTGATAATTGACTGACTCATTGCTATTTTCTACGTAGTTATTCTTTCTAAACTCCTAAAGCTTGGACCACCATTGATTGTTTTAGAGCGCTAAATTACATGCATTCGTGGGCCATATGGGCAATAGACTCTTTCAAGGCCAATAATAAATGAAGAATGTCTGTATAGATATCATGCAGGATTCTGCAAAGTTGCTCATCTTCTAAAGGCATCAGATGAGAAAACACGTAAAGGTCTTTTACGGTCACTCTTGTATTACACTTGCAAGAAGATGTTCCCATAATTGATTGGTTTTGTGACTTATTACTATCATGCAATTTTATGTACAGTTAATGAGTTGTATTTTAAAGGAAAACATTTGAAATGCTTATGTAAATTATATTGTTCAACTATTAGTCATCCAATTCTTGTAACTATTTTCAGAATTTAGTTTTGATGGGTACCATGGTTTCCAAATTTTTCAAGAAATAAAGGTAATAACCGAGATTACAACGTTATATGAACTAGGAAGCACTTTCATAACAAAAGTTCTTTATTAAGATGGGTGTATGTTTTACTGTTTAATCACTTGATGTATGTTTTACTGTTTAATCACTTGATATGTGTTTATGGTATCAGTTCATTTATCAGTTATTAGTTTTAATGTATCATAAATGAACTAATAAAGTAAACAGTTAATAATAATAGTTTCAGTACTACATACTAGACATTAAAAATACAGAATCAGAGAAAATATATAATATATCTCTAGTTTATTAATATCAGTTTATAAGAAATAATTCAGATAATTGTACCATAATTACAGAAACAATATTTTCAGAAAAGTAAAGAAAAAATGTTTTACAAAATCATCTATTCACTAAGTATTTTTAGGTCAACACAGGAATCGTGCTGAGTAGTGATTTTCGCTCGAGGTTTGGTCCACGCGACAACTTCATTTTGCATGTATGCTGCATATAATGATGTAGACTGCATGAGAGTTATCACCCATAGACTTATTATATGCATATTTTCATCTGAATTTATGATATGCACTATTTTGTTTTCAGAAAAAAGATTTGGTAATAAAGAGTTTTCTTTCAAAGAAGAATATGAAATAGTATAATAAAATGAATAATTATAACATAAAAGAAAAATCTATCTACCGGTTGTCTTGTTTATATTTTTGTTATTATATATTTGTCAACAAAAATAAGTCCTAATTAATAAATATATATTTAATTTTTTAAAATAATTAGACAATTTGTGGTTTAGTACCTTGTCACCTATAAGGTTTGGAAACTAACAATTCTACACCTAATGGAGTTTTGTTCCAATTAATGATCGTGTAAAGGATAAGAAAGAAATTCTGAATAAATAGTTAGCCTTTTTTACATCCGAGAAATACAATAATACCAAAATAATTTGTCTTCTTTTCAAAATGGATACTATGTAAGATAATTTTCTTGATAAATTTAAGATTTTAGTTTAGTTTATTTTCTTATTTTATTTTATTTGTTTTCTCTATTTTTTTCCTTATATCAAAGGAACATAATTACTAGTAGGAAATCTTCCCTATTAAAATTAGAATATATATATATATATATATATAGGGGTGAAGTGTGATTTTAAAAAATTAGGGAAATTTCATGCCAAATCTCTGGGTATCGTTGCAATAAACCCAACCCTTCAGTACACTTGAGAGAAACACAGAGCAAACGAAGCAGAAGAATTGATCCAGAAGATCAAGCCCTAGCGCCAAAAACTCGAGAAGACGAAGACACAGACATAGCTATGGTAGATACTAATGAAAACCCAGAAGCAGCAGAGCCCAAGTCTCCAGACTCGAGAGACTGAAGTGACTTAGACTTAGACTCAGAATATGAAGCACAACAAAAATTGGAGCTTCAAGACATCGAGTCCCAGCTCGCCAATGAACCCTCCAACTATGAAGTCCATATTCAAGTACGTTTTTATATCAATTTGAATATGAATTTCAATACCCAGTTCTTGAATTTTTGTTTTTGGTAATATTATTGTTTTGCTTTTTTATTGTTTTTGTTGGTGGTTTTAGTATATAAGGGTTTTGAGGAAGATGGTTGAGATTAAGAAGCTGAGACAAGCAAGAGAAGATATGAATGAGATTTTTCCATTGACTCCTGTTATGTGGCAAGAATGGGTTCGAGATGAAGCTTCTATTTCAACAGGGTATGTTTTAGTTTTTTCATTTTGTGTTCTTGTTATTGATTTCATGATTAAATTTTGATCGCTTAGGGTTTATGGTTAACGAGAGAAAGTATAAAGAGAAAAATTAAATGGATTCGTCTGAAAGGAGGAAGTGTTTATCTTTTAGGGTTAAAATGGTGAAAACGATGTTGAATTAAAGTTTATGTGACTTCTATCTACTGAGCCTTAGCTCAAATGTCGACTTAATTGAGTAAAAGAAATGAAGTTTTGAGCTTTCTTCCTTTCTATTTTTTTTTTTTTTTTCATATGTTGCAACTAGGAAGCAGTGATGGTAGACTTGGGTGGTTAGTTTTCGATAATTTGTGGTTGTCTGATATTTCGTTTGTCTATAGATTTTGAGTTCCCTCTTGTCATTGCTTTTATGGACAGCCTGCTTGCATGCATAAGAAAAGTGTTAATGGAAAGAGAAAAACAGATTCAAACATGACTAACAAACAGTCTCCAGCTAAGCGGAAAAAAAATATTGCCTAAAACCCTAACAAAGTGCATGGGAAAGAAAAGAGACGAGCACAGAACTTAGCTGAAGAAAACAAAGTAGAAAAAGCAAAACCCAAGTTTGAAGAGCATCCAAATGACCGACACATCAAAGACTCCACCAATGGAAGAGCCAAAGTATACACTGACGAGTGTAATGCATTTTTATCAAACCTTAACTTTAGGGCAAGTGGAGATTCTCTCGCACTTTAGAGATAGATTGCTTTTTATTGTTTTTTAACACTGAATAGGAAATACAGAGAGATCATTCTTATGGTTTTAAATTTTTTTCAGAAAACTTCTGAAGATCTGAAAAGATTCTTTAGTAATATTGGTGGGGTTGAATCTATTCGAATTTTGCAGGACAAGTTCATCGAAAAGTTAAGGGTATGACTCTCTTTCTCTCATTCATTATTTGTCAATGTTCTTTGTGCTTTATGCTTCAAATGAAAAAGGGGAAGCTATCCACTGGACCTTCCATGTGCACATCAGTCTTACAGTCAAATCCTTATTTAACATTGCCCGACCTTTAAACTTCAAAAGAATCATTTTCCTGGAGCAAAAGAGGATGATCTGAATTTTTCATTGATAAGGGAATCGCATATGTATACTGTTCATTTTTCCTTGTTAAAATTGTTTTTACTCGATGTTAAGAACTTGAAGCTTCTTAAGACATTTGTAGATGCTCTATTCATGGTGAACTTTGGATGAAGAAAATGTGGACCTTGTAGCTAGTCTACTCTTTCAAGGTCCAGGCATAGATCTCTTACGAATGTGTATCAAGTGCTTCTACCCTTAGACTCTGAAGAAAAATCTATTAATTTACTTCATTTAGTGTGTTCTTATAGTACCATTATGACCACTTTATGTAGAAATTACAGTGCATAGCTCTCGGTACTCCAAGATGGCTATTGCTAATTGCTAGATTGTTACCTTTGTTAATTGTTTTGTCATGGAATAGTGTCCTTTGCTAAAAAATTTCTCATTCAGCATTGGAGTTTTATGCACGGAAGATATCTTTATGGATCTGTGAATTTATAAAATTTGCATGTCATATTCAACTGGTACATCATTGTTGTATAATGGCTATCTTCAATATTTGTGTTTATAAATAATTAGCCTGATGTCTCTTTAGTATACCATCAAAATTGCAGGGTCTGTATGATTGGATGTATTATATATACTTGAATACTTAACTGTGTAGTTCCCTCCTTTCAACGCGCATTTGTATGCTTATCTCAGCAGATGAAGAATACAGATGGTTTGCTACATTTGTACGGTTATTGGGCTTGTTTGGAGCTAAATTTGGCTGCTGCTCTGGGTGTTTGGGAGAGCCTGGTTAAGATCTACTTTGGCCCATTCATCCTTTTCTCTTTCTTATCCTGTATAGTTCAATATGATTGATTTATGATTCATCTTTGTATTTTTTCCATATAACTTGCTTTTTGTCTGTGCAGCAGTCAATGTTGGAAGCCGGGCAAGGTTATATGGCTATGTAAAGTGAACTGGGACATTTAAATGAAGCTAGGCCCATCTACAGGAGATGCTACAGTAAAAGATTTAGTGGGACAACTTCAGAGGTATAATTCTTTTATATTACTTGCTTTCAATTTTACTAGATTGATTTATGGACATAATTTGAATTTGAATGTTTCTTAACTGGTTTTTTCCTAATTTTTTTTTTTTTTTGGGGAAAATTGTTGCTTTTAGTAGTGTACGATGCAACTTTATTTAATTAATTGATATTTGTCATCTACAATGCAAACATTTCTTTCTTTATTCTCTTTTTGTAGCTGATGGAAGTTGAAACTAGACAAATGGCTTAAGTCAAGGTTGTTAAAATGTTTTTTATCAAGTAGGGCAATTTATGGAGATCTTTTGAACTCTTAATATAGAATCATGCTCTGCAGCTAAGAATATATTTAGAGTGTAGCCTTGCAATAGTTCAACCTGTTACTCGGGCACCAGAATCACAATGGTTTAATATGTCATTTTGAATAATTTTTCCAAATCATACGTAAATGGTACTTTAGGGGTCATGCTAGTCGAAAATCCATGACGTTTATTTTTTTAACCTTTAACTTTGGATTTATTGATACTGTGATGAAATTATGGCATACATGAAGCAATCACATTTAAACCATAGGTAGTGGAGTATTTTTTGAAACCCAATAGGTTGATATAAGAGTAGACTAGGACACCTTAGCTTTCCTTATTTACAAAAATTGTACCCATTGTTATTCAAAAATAAAAGTTTATTTTCTTTTAAGTGTGAAACTTGTCAACTTGCAAAATACAGCAAGTCTATTTATATAGCTCATCAATATAAGAGTTCTAAGCTTTTTTAATAATTCATAGTGATATTTGGGGGCCATCTAGAGTTACAAATATTGTAGGGTCTAAGTGGTTCATTACGTTTATTGATGATCACACTAGAGTATGTTGGGTATACTTGATGAAAAACAAGTTTGAAGCAAGTCAATTGTTCAAAATCTTTCATTCAATGGTTGAAACTCAGTTTCGAGAAAAAATCCAGGTTTTACGGACTAATAATGATAAGGAATATTTTCACTCTATCCTAGGAAACTACCTATTACATCACGGGATTGTACATCAAAGCTCTTGTGTTAATACCCCTCAACAAAATGGGATAGCTAAAAGAAAGACTATACACCTATTAGAGGTAGCCAGAGTCTTAATGTTTACCATACCTAAGTATTTTTAGAGTCATGCGATTTTAATAGCTGCATATTTGATAAATAGATTACGTACTAGAATTCTGGATTTTCATACACCTTTTAGGACTTTGCTAAAGATCTTTCCTAGTTGTAGGATCCTAAATACTTTACCCTTAAAGGTGTTTGGATGTACTGCTTTTGTACATGTTATGTCTCCTAATAGAGGAAAGCTAGACTCTAGGGCCATTAAATGTATCTTCCTTGGATATTCTCCCACATAGAAAGACTATTAGTGGTATTGTCCTGTAAAGAGAAAATTATATGTCTCTAGTGATGTCACATTTTTTGAGTCATGTCCATTCTTTCCCACTTCCCTTTAGGGGAGAATTTGAGAGATTGTGAAGGTCATTCGTGGGAAGTAGTGTTACCCTTACAACCACACTTGAGTCAGTCTCAATAGGCTCCTAGTCTAGGTCAAAGTTCAAAGTCACCTAGTTTCCTATAGGTCAGCCTAGTCCTATAAGAATGAGTCAATCTCCTAGTCAGCCTAGTTTAGGTTAGGTTCCTATAGGTCAGCCTAGTCCCACAAGGATGAGTCAGTCTTATAGTCAACCTACCAATTTAGGTCCTACTCTAACTATATAGCCCACTCTTGATAAACCAAACTTAGGAAAGATTAGAACCAGGGGGAGGTCTAGAGAGATTAAATCAGCTGGGTCTCTAATGTTATTCTCAAAGAACCAACTATCAAAGTGGAAGGAAACCTAATGATCTGCATAAGCAATCGTCCCAACTAGAAGAAACCAGTGATTCACAGTCACAAGGTAAGGAAGAACTATCTTCTGATGAGTCTAAATCAGGGCATGATGATTTACATTTACTTATTGCAGTAAGGAAGGGTGTTAGATCCTGTACTTTTTCATCATATTGCTAAGTATATGGCATACGATAAGTTGGCAAATGATTTTTTGGGATTCACCACTAATCTCTCAGCTATGAAGGTTCCAGCACTAGTACATGAGGTATTAGGGGATGAAAAGTGGAGGAAGACTATTATAGAGGAGATGGAGGCTTTTGAGAAAAAACAAGACTTGGGAGCTGGTAAGTTTACTTGAAGGGAAAACAACTGTGAGTTGCAATCGGGTGTTTACTATTAAGTACTAGGTAGATGGAACAGTTGAAAGGTGTAAGGCAAGGCTGGTGGCAAGGGGATTTAGGCAAACCTATGGAGTAGACTATGAGGTGACCTTTGCTCCAATGGCTAAGTGGAACACTATCAGGGTCCTCGTCTCTTGCAACAAATCTAGACTGGCCTCTACAGTAACTAGATGTGAAAAAACGCATTTCTGAATGGTGAACTTGCAAAAGAGGTATACAAGGAAATGCCACCAGGGTTTGAAGGGAGTGGAAAGGACAGAAAAGTGTGCAAATTGAAGAAATCATTATATGTCCTAAAATAGTCTCCATGGGCTTGGTTTGAAAAATTCACAAAGGCTGTTAAGAGGTATGGTTTTACTCGGCGGCAGACTAATCTTACATTATTCCTTAAAACCTCTGCAGGTAAGATTACTATTTTAATTGTTTATGTAGATGATATTATTATTACTGGAGATAGTTTTGAAGAAATGGAGGCTATTAAGAAGGTTCTTGCTTAGGATTTGAATTGAAAGACTTGGGGCAGTTGAGGTATTTTCTTGGTATGGAGAGTGCTAGGCGTAAAAAGGGAATTTCAGTTTCACAAAGAAAATATGTGTTGGATTTACTGAAGGAGATATGTATGCTAGGTTGCAAGCTAGTTGAGACTCCCATTGAACCAAATATGAAATTTGAGAAAATGAGTTGTGATGCTCTAGGTTATAAAGGCGGGTATCAAAGGCTGGTTAGGAAGTTGATATACCTATCTAACACTAGACCTGACATAGCCTTTCCGGTGAGCGTAGTGAGTCAGCATATGCATAACCCACAAGAGAAGCATTTTGAGTCTGTGAGTAGGATTCTAAGGTACCTTAAAATGACCCTTAGGAAGGGGCTATTTTTTTAGTGAAAAGAATGAAAGGAAATTAGAAGCATTCACGGATGCGGACTGGGCTGGTTTTGTGGATGATAGAAGATCGACCTTAGGTTATTGCACTTTTGTTTGGGAAATTTAGTAACTTGGAGAAGTAAGAAGCAGAACGTGGTAGCTAGAAGTAGTGTTGAGGTTGAGTTTCGTGTTGTGGTTCATGGGATTTGTGAACTAATATGGCTAAGAAGAATCTCAGGAGAGCTTGAAATCAAAGTTGCAGAGCCTATGAGGTTGTACTATGACAACAAGGTTGCGATTGGGATAGCACACAATCCAGTGCATCGTGACAGGACTAAGCACGTTGAAATAGATAAACATTTCATCAAAGAGAAGATAGAAGATAGGTTGTTGTGTGTTACCTACTTGCCTACAAATCAGTAGACAACATATATTCTTACAAAAGGACTTCCTAGACAGTTGTTTGTTAATCTAGTTTCCAAGCTGGGAATGATAAATACCTATTCACTAGCTTGAGAGGGAGTGTAGGATTTCTAGATTAGAATATGATCAACTTGAAAATATATTTTGAATTTTAAATCTCTCTATGAGATTTGGGCTAGTTTAGTTTGTGATTAAAAAATAATTTTAAAAAACTAAGTTAAAATTAAAAATTTTAAAAGCCTTATCTCAATATTTTAAATGTTTGAAAATATATCTAGTATTAAAAAAAAATTTTGAAGTTAAAAACTATATAAAGACTGAGAAATTATATTTTTCTTGTTCTCTAATTTTACACTAATTTTTAGGATTATATGGAAAACATTGTTTTTTTAAATATTTCAACATATTTTAATAAAAACTATTTTTATAAAATTCCTAATATTCCTTGTTTTCGAAAATAAAACACTATTTAAAACTTGTATATGTATTTATATTATATTTATGGTTGTGATTGTGGTTGTTCAGCTGTAGTATCTCTTTCTAGCTAGTATAATTGGGAAATATAATATAATATAACACATAAGCATATAAGTGAAAAATAATGGGCCCAAAAATTTTCTTTACTTTATATATTAACTTCTTTACATAACAAAAAAATTATATACAATAACTTAAAACAATGGACAGTAGTGCGATTTCTCTCTGCTTCTCGATGTCCATCCGATCGCTTTTCGCCTATTTCCTACAAAAACATTTAGAAACAATGGTGTGAGCACTAGTTGCTCAGTAAGTAAATCCGCTACACTATTCTTCTATCTCCGTTGTTCATATTCTGAATTCTTTCCTTACATTACTCTTTTTCTTCCTCTTGATTCTTTCTTTGTTCTTTCTCTTTTCTTTCACTATTTTCTAGTTCTCATTGTTCTTTCGTTCTCAGTTTCTTTGTTCTTTCTTTCTAGTTCTCTCTGTTCTTTCTTTCTTTCTTTATTCTAATTTCTCACTACCCATGGTAGAAATCATGGTATCATGCATAGGTGTGATGCAAATACACAAATGCATGGAGATGCATTTTCTTTTGACTTTTCTATTTCTTATTCTGCTTTTCTGTTTCTTTTCTATATTTCTTTTTTTCTATTTCTCTTCTTTCTTTCTTTCTTTTCTATTCTTCTTCTTTTCTTTTCTTTTCTTTTCTATTCTTTCTTTTCTTTTCTTATTCTTTCTTATTCTTTGCCGATCGGACTTAGTTGATGCATGGATTCGGAACCCTGGTCATATAAGTGAATACAGTCCTCATCTACATGCACTCTTACGGACTGTACGAATTCTTTTCTTCTTAGGCCATTCATTTAAGGTGGCGTGCATTTAGGTATATTCTTCTGGGTACAGCCCTCATCCACACGCACTCTTACAGACCATACAAATTCTTCTTCTTATTCTTAGGCAGCTCACTGAAGGCAGCGTGCGTTGGGAATATTCTTTTTCTTGTCACCCACGGGTTCCCCATCGCAACAACCTTTCTTTTCTATTTTTTAGCACTCTTCTTTCTTTCTTTTTGTTCTTTAGTGCTTTTCTTTCTTTCTCTTTATTCTTTAAGTTCTCATACATGTGCATATGATTGCAGGTAGATGATTCATGCTTATTATTCTTTCTATATGTAAATATCTAATGCAAGAATGCCATGTAGCATAAAAATAAGTCTTTCTCTATCATCTACAAGCCCATGTTAAGATCACAAATAAATACACTCATGCATACACTTCTCTTGGACATTTCATCAAACATAATGCATGCATACTCAAATTCTAATTTAGCTGTGCTTCTACTTCTTTTTCAAACCACCAATATTTGGAGTAAAACTCCCTTAAAGCAATATTAAACCTGGCCAGGAAATACACTCCATAAATTATACTCAAACTCTTTCTAAATTCAACTAAACTTCCATCAATTTCTATTGACAAAACCATCCCTTCTCATGGTGTAAATCCAATCATGGATCATCAACAAACTAACCACAATTCCATTAACAAATCTCAAGCATATAAATCCATATAAGAGAATCTCTACACTTTTATTGCTCAATCAAGGATTAGGGTTGGATTTACTTACCTTGAACTTGAATAATTCAACTAGAATCTCTCTCTCTTTGGTAGACTTCCTCTTTCTCTAAAATCCTAAGCATATAAATTATAAGAACTCAATACTTAAAAAAAATTAATCTCACATCTATTCACAAGAATTCTTACCTTGGGATACTTAGGAATGAATATCTACTCAAAATCCAACCAAAAGTCCTCTAAATCTCCTTGGAAATTGATAAAGGAATTGAGAGAATTTGAGAGTAAAGGTGGCATGTGAGGGAGTAGAGAATGATAGGGTTTGTGGTCTTGAACCCTTAATATCTCATATAATATCCATACTTTCCCATTTGGCCCTTACACTTTCTTAGAAATTCCATCTTTTACCCTTTAGTCATTTACAAGAATGCCCTCACCTTCATTGCATTCTCCATGAAATTTCCTTACTTTTCATTCCCCACATTTACAACTAATTAGGGGTAGAATGGTCATTTATCCCTTAATGAAATTTTCTCTAGAATCTTCTCAAAGATTTCAACCATCTCTTTGCCCCGGCGAAGCTTTTTCTTCACCTCGGTGAAAAATTCTAGAGCATACGTCACCACGTCGAACTTTCTTCTTGGTCGCAGCGAAGTCTAAAATTTCCAACTTCACCAATCTTCCACCTTGAAACAAGCAAAACCTAGGGCAACCAAACAATACTAAGAGCATATAAGCTTAACTAAGAGCAAACAAGCATAAAATAAGTTACGTACCTCAATGTGGGCATTACAATTCTCCCCCATTATAACACCCACATAAAATTTCTCAAGGGTGCTCAATGAAACTTTAATTTGATTTCTAACCGCAAGCATAAAATAAGCTTAACTAAGGGCAAACAAGAATGGCTGATGCTTTAGGGAGATTGAAACTACTAATTGCAGTCCATTCTCTTTGATCAAATTTCTCAACGGTGCTCACTGAAACTTCAATTTGATTTCTTCCTTTCATGTAGTCAATAAATCATTTAGTTCTTACACTTTTGGTTTTAAGATGAATGTTCTTTCTAGAGACGATTATGCAATCTCAAATAAACCTGCAGAAGCGTTGAGTTCCATAATTATAGTAAAATTGCTTAATTTTCTAAGTATAAAGAGTCTAACTGTCTAAGAGCATATTTTTTTCATTTTGCTAGCAAGTGATATGCTTCGGAGACTTAACCATAGTCCCATATAGATTTACCCATATTCTAGCTTGCCTTTAAATTGTAGAGCATCTATATGGGACCATTGCATACTAATTTATAATATCCTCTAATCCATTTTTGAAGGGCCTCGCATATGTGGATTTTGCCAAGATGCACACCTTGTTGCAGTGTAGGAAAGAACAAAAAAAAAAAAAAAAATGTTTGTTTGGAAGAATATAAGCATTGCAAGATCAAATCTGAAGCAAAAAAGAAAGGATTCTGCTAGTCATGGGGCCTCTAGAGAACAAGGTAGGCTAAGTGGAATTATGTTTTATCTTTGTTATTACTTGTGCCTGTTTGTTTGTGTGTAATGCAGTATATAGACGTTTAGATGTTTGTGTTTCCCACTTTTACCTTTTATTTTCTTACTCTTTTGGGTTAAACGGTAGCGCAAAGTAGTAGTCACACTTTCAGGGAGTCCAGATCGCCACACTGTGCTACTAATAAATGTAGT